TAAAAATGTGGTGTATTTACATAAAAAGGGCACGTGTTGACAAGAAATAGATCTATTGCTTTAAATTCATCTTGCAAGTGGTTTTCATTGAAATAGCAGGAAACTAATGTCCTTTTAAAACTTTATTAAAATCATCTGGATATACTCAACCTAATAAAAGCTGAGTACACGGCTGCTGGACTTCCTGTAGCTTTAGATATGGAGTAAAAAGAGGCTTAAGTGATATCCTACATTTGAAATTGTGGAGAAGGATATGTTATTGCCCTAAGAAAATATGTCCTTTATGAAGTAGATTCAAAAATACCATTTGGGCTCCATTTCTGTTGGCGTGACTTTTTGAGTGTCTTTGGCATTCTGTCCGGCGTGGTCTCTTTGTCTCTGTGTGTTTATATACATCAGTGCTAGTTTACGGGGACTGCTGCGTTGCCTAGTTCAGGCTAAGATATTTCACCTCGCCACTCGAGAAAGGTCAATTCCGAAGTGAACCTTTATAAAGAGCTGCGTCACCTTGAGCTTAAGAATCGTTTCAATTTTCTCTTCCGAAGAGGCAAGTTGAGCCTCCATCTTAATTGAATTGTATTTAATCTAGCCACTTTCATGATTAACTACAAATAGGAGCTTTGGGAGGGATGGGGCAGCCATATTTAATGAGGTCACTCAGGTGACCAGGTCTCTTTCTGGGGCACTGTGATCCTTTCCTAACTTTTGGCAAAAAACGGTCAAATAATTTGCACCCCGTTTCTGAGTTACTTTAGAAAAACACCATTGCTGTTCATTAAGGATGTAAACGCATGCAAATTCACCCAAACACACACCCTCCCCAATCCAACCTGCAGCCTCAGTTACATTTGATTCCAGGGCTTTGAAATGCAAAGGAAAACACTGAACACAGTGGGGTCAAACTCAGCTGCAACAGGGAACTAGGAGGAAGTCTTGAATAGCATTGCTCTGGCCAACATACACAAGCTTAACATTACTTTTTGAACCTATGGCCATGTGCTTTAAAGATGAATATTTTGCCTGTGAAAAATTAATGTCCCAGAGCTCTTACAACCATTGTTTCTTTGTGAAATGGAGTACGCAAAATGTCTTTTGAAAAAGCAACCTTTTGGTGAATAGATTGCTTCTCCCCTTTTGGCATTTACTACTAGTTGGAAAGGCCCCTAAAGAAGCATTAAGCAAATGAGCAAATAGTTATAAAAGAGCCAACCAGATTCACAGGAGCATGGAGATGGACAGAGCCAGTGAGGGAGACCAATTTTCGTCCTTGTGTGAAACAAATAAAATGTCTCATCTCCTACTTTCTTTTCTTGATCTTTTAAAAATGTAAAGGCTCATTGCTCTTTTCTTGGTTAACAGGTTTAGTTTTAAACAAAGAAGTCTCCTTTTGAAGGCCAAAGTAAGAAGAGTCATGCTAAGAAGAGAGCTGGCCCTAGAGCTCTGTGAGTTATCAGGTAAATGTTATGTCTGGAGTAGAGACTAAGATAACCAAGCCTCATGGGGCCTTGGATCAATTTAATTTTGATGAATGACCAGTTTGGTAAATATTATTTACATTACTACACAAGTCGGGTCTGTTCCATTCATGTTTGAACAACCCACATAGTCTGTTCTGGAATAGCTTCTCAAGTAATCCCCACGGGCTGGCTTTCCCCACTGTTAACTCACAATTAGAAGGATAATTAGTAATGAGGGCGCTTTGCCTTTGAACTAAAAATGAAAACATGAGTGAATAGCTCAATAATCTAGAATTCCAGCAATTCTTCAACCGCAAGATCTCAAAACTATATTTTCAATGATAGACAAGGGTGGTAGAATTACTTTTTAAATTTTGCTTCTGCTTTTTTTTAAAAAAAATGACATTCTTAAATATTATAGGATTTAAAAAGAAAAAATTTTCAAACGTAGTCTTATCTCTTTAATGCAATGTTTTTGTTTCTCTGCATTTTTTCCCACTCTTTATCTACATATATTCATTTATTCATTCACTCACTCATTCACCCTTCAAGTATTTATTAAGCACTTGATACACGTCAGTCAGTGGTTTCAGCCAGGGATCAGCAAATGCTTTCTGTAATGTGCCACACAGTGAAAGACTTAGGCTTTAAGGGCCCCATGGTCTCCGTCACAACTACACAGGTCTGCCATAGTAGGACAAAAGCAGCCACAGGCAATATGTAAACAAATAGGTCTGGTGGTGTTCCAATAAAACTTTATTTACAAAAATAGGCAAGGAGTTAGCAGGCTGCACGTTGCCAAACTCTGCCACAAGGCCTTGGGGCTATACAAACCAACAGAACAAAATCCCATTGAACAGACATTGCAATTGAGGGAGGCAGATAATAAATAGCAAACAGATAATCTCAGAGAGCAACTAGTACAATGAAGGAAAAACGTATTTCTCATGTTAGAATGACAGCATACCTTCAGTTTGGCGTTCTGCTCTACTCACTATTTGGTGAATGTTTTCTATGTCGCTGCACAGTCTTCACTTTTACTGATGTTCTTGGCCTCACAATATCCCGCCTTGTTGGTATCTCAGATTTTACTTAATCCTTCCTCAATGTTGTACATTTAGCTAAACTTAATTTATGAGCATACATATGAAGACAGAAAATACATCAAAGTGTTCATCTTATAATAAACTTCTTCTAAATTCTTTGTTTTTGCTTTGGACAGGGAAGCCCAGAAATTCTAGATCAGGACAAAGGCACCATGAGGGAGGCGAAGGTGAGAAAGTTTACCCTGTGCTAAGAACATTTTTGTTAGTGTCCAATATCCTACAGTTTCAGGGTGGGCCTGAAAATGGGGATCCAGAGGGCTAGATTGTTCTGAACAAAGGCAGCAGACAATGGGAGCCTCACGCTTCCTATTCAGGGTCTGTGTTTTTCCACCAGGAAATAGCCCCTCACGATTTAATCCATTAGGAACAAAATTGCTCAAAGATGCTCCTGTTCAAATCTATTAAGCACTGATCGAGTGCTTGGATGTAAAGCATAGTGCATGGCCCTATGTTATGGGAAGGATGTACGGATGACTATGACAAAGCCCCTTCTCCTTGTCTCCCAGGTGGACACAGGGACCTGCAGGGATAGGAGAGGTTCTAGGTCAACTGTGTCAAGTGATAGATATATGAGAGGTAACCCCTTACTCCCTCTGTTCGATGTTCAGCACACAGGAAGGGCTTTACACCCAATGCCCCACGAAGGCAATGCCTAGGAGCAATACTTCTCTTTCAGAAGTGTTTACTCCTTATTTGCTCTTCTTCTTGGGTCGGTGGGATTGGAGAAGCATGGCGATGCAGTGTTTTCTGTATTCTTTTTTCAGATACTGATAATTACAAACATATATCAGAGTTTCTATGTGCCAGACACCAACATTTTCATTTTTTCAATCCTCACCACAGTCCTGTGAGGTAGTACTATTATCTTCCCCATTGTATAGATGAGGAGACGGAGTCACAGAAACACCGAGAGACGTGTATTGCTGCTTGGCTAATGAATGGCACAGTCAGGTTTTCTCATGCAGTCTGACTCCAGCATCTGTGCTCTCAACTTCTCTGCTCTATGATTCACCTGAGGGCTGAGAGTATTCTGCCAGATCTTCCACGATGTAAGCACCCCTGGGACAGGTACAGGGTCCAGGCCTTGCTCACAACCTGTCTGTCCCTGATGAAGGCAAAAGAGCAAGAGTGATGTGCAGATACACAGCTTTCCTCGGCTGATGTGTCCCAACTGCTGGATTTGGCAGAGGTGGGCAGAAAAGCCCATCTATGTTCTTGAAATCAGGAACATGGGTTGTAAAACTAATATTTTCATCTCTCTTGGTTTGACTCCTGTATCAATTTTCTCAAATACTCGTTCCCAACTTAGAGGAAAAGATGTGATTACTTCTCATCTTAAACCAGTAACGTAATATAGGTATGAATAATAGTGAAAAGTAGCTAACGATAATTATCATATAGCAGGCTTGTGCTAAGTGCCTTAGCTTAGAGTTATCTCTTCGCGTCTTCACCACAATCCCAAACAAGTAGCTTTTACATGTTATGGAAGAGAAAAGGGATTAAATTTTAGCTTGTCAAATAGGCTTCTGATAAATAGAAGGGTAATGACTGTTTAATTGGCTACACGATGTATTAACAGGCAAACCCAACAGTTGACTGCAATGGTCTTTGATGTTAACATCAAATAATTTTGCTTTTCACAGAGTCACTCACAACAGTTGATATTTAATATTGTCTGGGAGCACTCAAAGGTCAAAAATAACTCAGTGGTACTGGCCAGCAAATAGCAGAATGAGATTAGGTTAAGATGTTTCATTTAAAAATTTCTTTGATCTGTCCACCTCTTCCCACCTTCTTTGGCGTCGCCCTAGTCAGGCCACCATCATCTCTCACTTTTGCTACTGAGACAGCCCCCATATTGTCAACCATATATATTCTTGACCATGCCAAATGTCTTCTCCATAAAGCAGAAGCATGACCTTGCTAAAAGTCACTCTCCTCGCCAAAAGCAATCCAATTTTTCTTAGGATGAAGACCAAAATTCTCAACACACCTTTCAAAGCTCTGAAAAGTCTGGCCCGAGTGCCTCTCCAGCCTCATCTCCGCCCGCCCCCGTGTCTGTACACTGGTTTGGTTAACTCAGCTATTTCATCCTCCTTCCCAACCTACTTATTATTCCCTCTCCCTGAAACATCCTTCCTTATCCCAGTTTTCACATCTACAAACATACTTGTCTTTCAGGCTTCAGATTAAATGTTGCTTCCTCAGAATTTCTTCCCCGCCAGCCTAGAGTAGTAGGGCTCCCTGTTAGGGGTCCTTATATGATCCAGTTCCTATGCTTCATCGGACTTATCTCAATTTGTATTTATTTGGTTTTTGTAGTTACTTGCTTTTGTCTGACTTCAACTGAAATAAAGCTCCAGGAGGGCGAGATCCAAATCTGTCTTGCTCACTGCTCTAGTCTCAGTGCCTAGCACAGTGCCTGGCACATACTCACCCAGTAGATATTGTTGAAATGGGGTCACTGAATGGGGCTGTGCAGGCTGTGTACTGCCCAGTTCCAGGGGCACTATCCACGTAGACAATGATATCCAATGGTGCTGCCTGGAGATGTGAAACACAGCAGCCCTGTAATGGATGAAAGAATGAATAGATGAATAAATAAATGGATGAGTAAATGAAACCATTGGTACAGAATTGTCTTATTGTCAGAAAACTATATTTGATGTCCAGTATTTCCTACAAACTATAAAATCCCACAGGGTTATATACGCCTTGCATATATGTCACACGGGAGCAGTTATTTTGGCATTTATGTGTTCCCAATAAGATCTCTTTTGCCCTTATTTGAATTCCACATATACTTTTTCATAATCTTGAACTTGGTCCACAACCCTCCAGGTGCCCATATAAAGTCCCACTTTGGCTTTTTAATTCTACAGGGCCCTCATTTTGGACTTGCAGGTGAGAAAGAGCTGAAGCTGCATTCCATTTGTGAGCTGAAGTACACTTTTAATATAGTATTTTTATTCAATGGGGCCCCTGAGTAATATCTGCTATGTATTATAATATGCTGGTAAAATATATACGCTCATCAGGGGAGGGAAAAAGTGACACCCAAAAGAAGATTATAGATCACTGTGCTGAGAGCTGGATTAGCTGGCACAGGGGACTTCGAGTAACTAAATGTCTTTTGGAAATAATAAATCGTGGCCATGATGCCAACCTCCAAGTCTTGCCAAACATCTGCATTCTGTTTACGACCCAGGGCTTCCCTTCAGCAGAAATTGAGCCATGATTATTACTAATACCATTTATTAATAAATTTATAAAGGGCAATGGCTTAAAAAGTAAAATGGGGATTGTTCTGCATGCATTTAGGTCAAGCGAGCCATGGTTTCTTAGCACCAAAGATGCCTATATCATCCCCAGTACTGTCACCATTTCACCTTGTAACTCATATTCCTGCATTCCCCAAAGAGACTATAAGCTCCCCAAGGACAAGACCCATGCCTTGAGTTTGTTTTTTGTATCTAGCTCACACATACTTGACAGTGCCTGCACGTACAGGGTTTGCAGGTCTTGATATTCATGGGATGACAATGAAGTCACTAAACCCAACGGTTTATTTAAACCAGACTTAAAATTCCACACTGTCCCCAAAACATCACTACCTTGATTTCTCAAACTAAGAACAGATCATAGACTTGAGCAAGTTTCTCATCTGGACTTAACCTATGAGATGGTAGACACCCTGATGAGCCACTCATAAACCCCTTGAGGAATGAAGGACTTACTCTCCCAGCCGCTAGGAGTGCTGCCAGAAGGCAACCCTTGGTTGTCAGCCCACTTTGGGAAAAGACTGCTGAGGAGAGCTGCCTTGCCCTTTCAGGGGCAGCCTCAGCCAATAACTGGCCAACGCTAGTGTATAAAGGCCAGGTCCTCTCTCTGCAACTGAGGACAATGCTGCAGGGCCACTCCAGCTCCAGAGCTTCCCCTGGGGTCAGCAGAGGCCTTTGCTGAGAATGCAACCCAGCCCAGTTTCTCCCTCTGCCCCATCCTGCTTCCATCCCACTCGTATCCACAAGTGTTGATCCCAAGAGCACTTCCTAATAACCCTCCTAAATGCTAATATTTGTCCCAGAGTTAGCTTCCCATGGAGCACAGCCTATAACCCAACCCTCTACATTTCAACAGAGTTCAACACAAAGGAATCAATTCAAGGACTTTTTTCCCCATTAGAACAATCTAGTAACAAATGACATTATTATTTGAGAAAGCGACTGGATCTTGGTCGCAGCTGCAGCAGAGGGCTGGATTCACACTATTGATATTAGACAACAGAAAGACTCTCTCATAGCCAGGAGTAACAGGCAGTGTTTTCCTACATTGCAGGGGAATGCTGCTCCCCAGACAACATTAGGAATTTAGGAAATTATGGTGCTGAGACAAGCACACACAATTATGAGCAGTGTCAAGAGTTCTTGCACTTTTTAATTGACCTCCAGAACACTTTTTTTCTTTAATGCCTGGTTGTTTTTTGTTTATATGTAATTCCCCAAAATATGCGCTAACAAGACAACCCTTTAAGAAATCTCCAAGACCCAGAGGATTAAAAAGTCATACATTTCCCCTTATAACTTTTGTAACAAAATGTAACTACTGCTGACACTCTAATATAATTACATTTAATAATCTGTTATCAATACTGATGACACTCTTTATAGGAGTCAGCAAACTACGGGCGGTGGGAGAAATCCAGGCCACCGCGGGCAGAATCTGGCCACATCCATTCATTTACAGACTGTCTATGGCTGCTTTCATGCTACAAGGGCAGAACTGAATAGTTGTGACAGAGACCACATGGCCCACAAAGTCTAACTCTTACAATTTGGCCCTGCACAGAAAGAGTTTGTTGACCTCTGCTTTAGTATATTAATATTTAGCGATCCCAACATAGTATTAAATGAAGTAAGAAAATTTTGTTGAAGGAACGTAACACACACCAAGAAAAGTTATCTCTGGTCATCGAGATTAGAGGAGAAGTTTCGTATTTTTTTCTTTTTGCTTTTTTGTATTTTCCACAAAAAACATGCAGTTTTTTAAATAAGAAAATCAATAAATGCTATTTACTATGGAATTTGTGTTCTTTTCTTCAAAACCATTTCGAATTTTGTCATTCACTAGCCATCTGTAAAAAAAAATGTATTTGTGTAAAGTCCAGTTAGAAAGAGCTCTGAATGTGTGCATATTGAAGGGTTCATTTCTTAATACCCCCCATGTCTAAGGAAACTATGTACACAATGCAGTGTAGAGGAGCTTGTCCAGCTACTGGATTAAGCATCCAGTTGGCTATCAGAAGTTGAAAAAAAAAGCAACGACAACAATCCTAAGTTGTTTTTGGGACAGCTGGCTCCATTTGGTAAGCTTATACACAGTATGCTAAGAAATATGGTTTATTCAGCCTCTGGTTTCTAATGCTTTTTAAATTTTCCCATCGATGTAGAAAAACAGCCCCCATTTTCCAAAACCAAGCCATTTCTGGACTATAAAAATAACACAGGGGACATTATAATAATATTTGTTGTTAGTGACTTCAATTGTGACTCCTAGCGATGCTGTGTACAGCACAGCGGAAGCCTGCCCCGTCTTTTTGTGCCATCCTCGCACCTTCCGTCGCTGTGTCAGACAATGCTCTGCTGCTGTTCATAAGGTCTTCATGGCCAATTTTTTTTGGAAATGGGTGGCCAGGTCTTTTTTCCTACTTAGTCTGGAAGCTCTGCTGAAACCTGTCCACCATGGGTGACCCTGCTGGTATGTGAAATCCTGGTGGCATAGCTTTTAGCATCACAGCAACACACAGCGGCCACAGTATGACAACTGATAGATGGGTGGTGTGGTTCCCTGACTGGGAAACAAACCCAGGCCTCAGTGGTGAGAACACCAAATCTTAACCACTAGACCCCCAGGGCTGGCTCTATAATAATATAGCCAACCATTTTTGAGCAATTTTCTTAATAAATAGCAAGCCTCACACTCAGTGCTTTTTACTAGCATCCTCTCAACAAACAGGTGAAAAATACTCTCTCAGCCTATTTTTCAGATGAGGAAACTGAACCTCAGGCAGGCTGAATAGGTGGCCAAAGGGTCACCAGCGAACACGTGGCTTAGCCAGAAGTCAAACCACTTCTCTCTGACTCCAGAGCTCTGAGTCCAAGCTCACCAAGCTGTGCTGTCCTCTGACCATTTGCATGTCCCAAAACATGCTACATCCCCAATCCCCACCTTGGCAGAATACCTATCTGCAGAATGACCAAAAGACTGTGCTCTCTACTCCATTAAATAAGGACTAGAACGAGGAAGCAGGAATTGTGGCTTTGTGATTTTGCGATTTCACATATCAAATTATCTGGGGACAGTATTTTTAGAGCTGATATAAAGCAGTAGTGGTGGACTGTTTCTATGTAATACCAAAACACTTCTTATTTTAAATAGCAGTTTCAGGAAATTTTTTCATATGAATATACTGTAAGTCCAAATTGATTTCTTTATTGAAATAAATATTAAATTTTGTATAGAAGTCATATTTGCCTAACCTGATTTTACATATTAATGTCACATAGAAAAATATCAGAATATCGTTTATATTTTCATTTTATTCCATTCTCTTAGGCATTTTTAGAGTGCTATGTCTTTGCCCACTAGAAACCTAGGGCTTTTTTTTACTTTTTGGATTAAAGTGGGTAGCAACCATGGATCTGTGTAAATGCTGGAAAACATATCTATTCGTAATTGATTCTTTCCTATTACTAAATCAAAACAGAATGAGTCTTTGATATTTTGAAATTAATATTACTTAGCCACATCACATGAAAAGTCAATTATTGCCAAATCCTTCCAATATGCACTAATATAAAGAAAAAATAAAATTTGGATTTGGAACTGAAAAAAAAGTTGACAGTTTCCTCTCAAATTGTGGCAATTGGCATCTCCATTTAAAAACACTAATAGATGAATAAAAATAGAATATATTTTCAAGCGCTTACGAGTGCCAGGCTTGACAAACTGCCAAAAAAGTAGGTACTCTATCATTATCCCCATTTGACAGAAGAGAAGCCTGAGGTTCAGAGAGGTTAAGAAACCTGCCCAAGGTCAAACAGCCATAAAAGAGCAAAGCAGGGATGTAAATTCAAGTATATTAGATTCTAAGGCAGAATTTCTCAACGTCAGCACTATTGACGATTTGGACTGGATAATCCTCTGTTGTTGGGGCTGCCCTGGTAGTGGAGGATGTTTAGCAGAATCCTTGGCCTCTACTTATTAGTTGCCAGTAGCACCTCCCCACGTGACAAGTTATAAGAACAAAAAGTGTCTCCAGACATTGCCAAATTTCCCCCAAGAGGGCAAAATCACCCCTGGTATAGAACCACTGCCCTAAAGTTCCTGTCTTAAGCACTATGCTTTTCTGCCTGCCTTTCAGTTTAGGGCAAGGTCGCCCTTGCAGAACTGGTCCCCAACAAGCCTGTCACAGTCTATGCACATCTGGGCCTCAGCCAATTTAGTTTCTCCCTCATTTTACTTAGGAAGGAAATGTCGGGCGCCCACAATCTGGGGTGGTTTGGGATATA